GAATGAAAAGAAGCACCTCATTTTGTGACTGAACACCTAATTGATGGATCGATCATATTTCATGCGAGGAACTACCCATTCACCCGCCTGACTGGGGAAATTTACATAGGATAGAATTGCCGGGGACTATAAACAGGACAAAAGGACGGGTAAATTGTACACACGGTGAATGGAACGGGGAGCTATAGTTACAAGGGTGGTGGAAAAGGGAAATATAAATACAGGAGGCAAAGGAAAGGAGACCACATGAGAGTTGAAGGGTAACAGGAAACGGGGTACCGTATTAGTGAAAATACTGATCAAATAAAAAAATTAGTATTTTTCTAGAAGCTCACCAAATGAGGTGTGAAAACAACTATGCCTAGCATCTCGCATTTATGTTCAAGAGCGATAAAAGTTTGCAGCAGTCCTCAACAGATCGACAAGCAACTGTACTACCGTAGATAACAAACGCGTTAACGTAGTACCGTACATTGAAACGCTACAATGCTATGAGTGAATAATTTGTGACTTGTTTCAGGAGTTTGGTTCATGCTGCATGCGCATCTGCCTCTGCTACAATCGGTATCCGTGACAACTCTTCCCGACGAAGATGTCGCTTCGTCTTCCCTAAAATTCACAAGTTCAATTTATGGAAACTCTGCTATTCACTAACTGTACTTTCAAGACAAAACAACGACTCTCAATCCACGATTATTGTTTCGTAGCTTCGCAATTCCAGAATAGAGGTATTCGATCCACTAACATTGGTTCATCTTAGATCCACATTGAGTTATTCAAATGAACTCCTCTAACAATGACCCACTGAATAGATCATCCATTGAGATAATTTTCGTATTTTGAAGATTGGGAGATCGTTTTAAACATCAGGCATGAAAGCAGTTCAAACTTCGGAGTTTTCTGAGTACAGATTCGAAATTCTCAGATGAAACTGCGATGGACTTTCCGGCATCGAAATTATTGATGAAATTGATTAGTGAATTTCGGTAAAAAGGAATAAAATAAGCATTTACCTTGTGTTCGTATGTGAATGAACCAAATTCCGGCAGCAAAACAAACCCCAATCAAAAGTGAGACGATCGCCAAAATAATTGTTGTACGCAATGATATGAGAGTATATTGCGGCTCTTGTATATCCTCTTCAATGCCCTTAAATATGACATTCAAACAATACATCGGGAGTTCGCAATTGGATAATAAAACGGCAATATTCCACGGGACAGAAGTAACTTTGGTCTCGGAAACCTATGCAGCAATCCTGGAATTTGCGTGTTTTGCAATGAATATCATTTGCCACATCAGGTGAAAGTATGTGACCCTATCGCAAATGCTTACCAGTCAGATCAGCTGATTTATTTGTTCAAGTTCATGTCACTGATTATTAAAGCGTGACACTACAATATCTGCATCATCATTGAATATATGGATTACTTTAGGATGTTCGCGGATTTGTGGGCTTAATGAGGAGATTTTTAGATGAGAGATGATGGATTTGCTAACCAAATTACATCGTTGTTCGCACATTGTCGTTATTGCCTTCTCTTCTTCGCTGATCTTGTAGCGAGTAACGTTGATCGGAAATGGGCTCGTAACGCTGACGGTTGGAAAATTGCGAAGTGCTTTCGGAAATTGTGCATTCTCGTCCTCAGTAGCTCCAAAACAGAACAGCGTTGTTCGTGGACACTACATTAAAACACCTCGTCATTAATCGCTTTTTGTCATCTTCTTTGAATCAAGAACACCAGTTTTTCGAATGGAAAGTTTACAGGAATAAGCAGTTACTGTGTGAACATGTTAAGAGTGATGATATTAAGTGGTGATTGCCAACACGAGACAACGTTTCATTATACTCGCATATCGATGAGGCAGCTTCAATCAAACGTTGAAACTCGATGCAAAAGTTGGCTAGTTAGCTAGGCGTTCAGTTAGACAAGAAAACGAAGGTGAAATTTACCTGTGGAACGCCACTAATACCCGCAAAACGATCACCTGTACATGGAAGAGATGTGCATTCGATCAGAAATTTCCCCAACTCATTCTGATCTCTGAAATGATCACTCGCGCTTACTCACGACTGTTTACGTGAAAATTCTTATTCCCAGCTTCCTTTCGGAATTTCATATACGTTTATATTTTAAGATACACTGAAAAACATAAACCTTATCATAGCGGAATTTGCTATGAATGACAACTAATAAATCGTGAACAGTATGAAAACGATGTTAGGAACATTTATGGTAAATTTAAAACGAATGTTTCTGACCAATGATCAGATGTTTACACATTGGAAAAGCAAATGTTTTGAAAATATCTTGCGCAGAGGATGTTGATTTGATACGACAGAATGACTGATAGTCTGTTAATCCGCCGAAACAGAGGCGAAAAACACAGTGAGGCAAATGAACTGAGAGTAAAAACACAGAATTGTTATCATAATGAAAACACACATGATATCACGCCTGCATCGGAACTGTTGCTGATAATGAATGAGACTCAAACGACGTGTTCTTTTTCAAATCATTTCGATTGAATGAGTTCTCATTGTTGCTTTGTCCATGCTTATTGCTATCACTGTTATCATAATATAATTAGGAATATTACTGTTACAGTCATTATTACTGAGTATAATAAAAATTTTGTTCCGTTACTGTTATCCTTATTAAGCGGAGCGTAAGACAGCCGATTCATCGTATTGTTACCTTTTTATATTCTTCTGAATTTTGACTTCATGTAATGAATGTTCGCATGAACTGTTTTGATCACTTCACAATATAAGACTGATCATCCTACTTTTGAGGAAAAAACTGCAAAAGGCGGCCTGATCGCAGTATAATAGCACGAGCCGGAGACCCAATTGGAAAACCACGTTAAGCAACGAATCGAACCAGTGGAAGAAGTCCAAGAGTATTAACGATTACTCGTATTCATCACACGGCTTTTGAAGGTATTTTGGAATCATTTCTACTGAATCATTTCCATTGAATGTGTTCTCATTATTGCTTTGTCAATGCTTGTTGCTATCACTATTACCATAATATCATTGAAAGAAATTAACAAGTTATTGAACTTACTCTTATTATTGCTCATTTCAAATATTATTCATTCAAATATACAGTCTTCTACCGTTTCCATAATTGCCATTCGTTGAAATTTAATAAGTATTTGTCGTAAATATTACTATTGTTGCTATCGTCACATAATTCGTCACATAATCCTAGTCAAACATCAAGCTTTTCACCCTCTTCTCCATCACTGTCTTCGACTGATGACCAGAAAGACATTGAAGTTTATTATCGTTTTCAGTATCGTCGTTTCATTTAATCGAATTTAACTGATAATCCAATGTTCAAATATTATCAGCATTGCATTTAGATATAAGATTAGATTAGATACATTAGATATAATCCTAGTGTTGACAAGTCTCTACATTAGATGCTACATTGTTATTGCATTTGATACCATCACCAAATACTCATTCAATCTTCATTACTATTGCCCTATTTTGAATCCAAACTATCCACCTCACGTCTTGAACTAACTACTTCTTTGTTGATATCATCTTCTTGTGTATTTTTACCATTCAGCATTCCATTTTGTATATTTGTGCATATTATTACTTGTAATATTCTTAATACTATTATTACCAGGTCAAAAATGTCGTCAAGTGTGATTCGTGGTATAATAAATGGAAATCGTGAAAGACTTGAGAAACTGCTCAAGGAATTGCCTGAGTTCGGTGGGAAAGCAGGAAGCCGAGATGAACTTGAACGCAGACAATCGCAAATACAACTCACAGTGACGATAATCAAGAAGAAAATCGAGACAATGGAAAGTAAACACAAAGAATGGACTCAACTAATCGAACAGCTCAAGGATCAAGCGAAATCAACCGAAGTAGCGGAGTATGAAAAATTTATGACTGAACCTAGAAACTTCACGGAGAGAATTGAAGAAGCCTGGGAATCGGTAGCTGTAATGGAGGTACAATTGAATGAGGTCGAAAATCTCCTCAAAAGAATCCCCGTCATAGAAAATATATCATCCCTGACCGCAAATACTTCGTCGTCATTCTCACTGCCAAAAATCGATCTATCGAGGTTTCGTGGTGATCCACTGACGTTTC